TGTGTTGTGTTGTTGCTGTTGCTGTTGCTGTTGCTGTTGCGGTTGTTGTTGTTGTTGTTGTTGTTGTTGTTGTTGTTGTTGTTGTTGTTGTTGTTGTTGTTGTTGTTGTTGTTGTTGTTGTTGTTGTTGTTGTTGTTGTTGTTGTTGTTGTTGTTGTTGTTGTTGTTGTTGTTGTCGTTGTCGTTGTCGTTGTCGTTGTTGTCGTTGTTGTTGTTGTTTGTTGTTTGTTTGTTGTTGGTTGCTGTGTTGTTGTGTTGTTGTGGTTGTGGTTGTTGTTGCTGTTGTTGTTGCTGTTGGTGGTGTTGTTGTTGTTGTTGTTGTTGTTGTTGTTGTTGTTGTTGTTGTTGTTGTTGTTGTTGTTGTTGTTGTTGTTGTTGTTGTTGATTGTTGTTGTTGTTGTTGTTGTTGTTGTTGTTGTTGTTGTTGTTGTTGTTGTTGTTGTTGTTGTTGTTGTTGTTGTTGTTGGTTGGTGATGGTTGTTGTTGTTGTTGGTGTTGGTGTTTGTTGTTTGTTTGTTTGTTTGTTGTTGTTGGTTGTTGTTGTTGTTGTTGTTGTTGTTGTTGTTGTTGTTGTTGTTGTTGTTGTTGTTGTTGTTGTTGTTGTTGTTGTTGTTGTTGTTGTTGGTCGTGGTGGTGGTGGTGGTGGTGGTGGTGGTGGTGGTGGTGCTTGTGCTGGTGGTGGTGGTGGTGGTGGTGGTGGTGGTGGTGGTGGTGGTGGTGGTGGTGGTGGTGGTGGTGTTGGCGGTGGTGGTGGTGGTGTTGGTGGTGGTGGTGGTGGTGGTGTTGGTGGTCTTGGTCGTGGTCCAGGTTCAGGTGGTGGTCGTTTTCGTCTTCGTTTTTCGTTTTTGCAACGGTACTAGGTGCCAATTTGCCTGCATGATTGGACTGAATTGGTTGGATTTCAGGGATGGACAAATGGGTAGGGCATAGCAATTGTCCATCAAGTCAACAAGTTCATTCAGTCAACAAGTTCTCAACTCCGGCCTTTGTTCGCAGTTGTGGGCATTGATTTACATTTCGAGGTTGAGGAGCCAACAAGCAAATGAGCAAACCTGAGGATTCCGACACCACAAAACAAATCCAGGCGCCATCATGACTTTTCAGTGGCAGCTTTCTCTGCGTGCCAGGCTGCTTTGCGCTGAGTGCAGGGCGCTTTTGCATTAAGCGCGTCGTGGATGCCCGTCCCCGGTGGACACCGTTCGCAAGAAAATGCGCGAGACCACCCGGCAGTTCGTAGAAGCGGGAGAGGGTTAACAGGTAGAATTAGGGGCTGTCAAACGCACTGGGTCCATGAAAGTGATATCCTCAAAAATACACTGATACAATGTCAGAAATGGTTGGAGGGAAACAAGACCAAAATGGTAATTTTGAACGCCCCTACTCACTTTGGATCCAGACGTCTGGTGTTTTCTTTTGAAAGGCATTGAAGCCCTACTTTTGACAACCGGACATTAGCGCAGCATGACCCAAGGGTTAATTGGAAGAAATTGTTGGTTGATTCATAGGGGGATGTCCGTCCACCATGTTTGTTAGGGGAAAACTCCCCCATCAGATTAATCTGGCAGCCATACGCTGGCCATAGCCAGGTAGTTTTTGCTTAACTTTTGGGATGACGTGGGACCACCTGATGAAAACACTGACTTGGCAAAAAGACCAGATGTTTGATTCCCAGAACGAAATCAAATGGACATTGTTGTTTCATTAATTTTTCCAGACACCCCGTTTGGGAATATCCCGTGCGCGTGGCAATCCTTGCTTGCGACTCTGAAGTTCTTCCCAGCTTGTTTACAATCCGTATGCCGGTTGATGGTTGTTCTCCTTGTTGTAGCGACGTCCGCCTCCAGATCATGCATGAGAATGAGGGACCTCCCCCACCCATTTTGAACAACCCAGTCTTTCAGCATGAGTGGCTGCAGATGTTGCTCTCCGCGGGCGAGGGACGGATGGCGACTGAGGGCAGCTATGAGCATTGTTAAAGGGCGACCGTGGTACCCTGCCACCGACCAACATGGAAGTGCACAGGACAGGGTTTGTGCACTTCCATCTTTGTTGGTGATGGGATATAGAATGGTCATGAGTCATGCTCCTTAGATGCATGCTGGTCACTCTACAGCGACTCTCTTTTGTCTGTGATGATCATGCAACTGCAGAAGGTTGCAATCAATTATCCTTTACGTGCGGTCTGCCAGCCCAGAAAGGCTAAGCCTTTTGCCAGGTTGCTTAGCCTCCCAGATACCCTACAGCCCTGAACCTTTTGTTTTTTTCTCTCTCCAAGGCGCCCTTGTTTTTTTCTTCTTGTCTCATCCAAGCATCAAGCTCGGTGTGTTTTTCTTCCAGACCAAGGACTGCCCTCTCCAGAGCTCTTTCTGCGCTTGACCTCTTGACCTCCTGCGCTCGCTTGGCTCGACCCCCATCCTGCGGCCGCTTTTCGGCTCCAGATGGCAGGGGGAGACACGGAGTTGTGAGCGATGGGTTGCACTTCCTCCGCGGCCGGTGGCCTCAGAACGCGTCACATGCGGGCCCGGAGCATGGGAACGAAAGAAAAGGTGGCGGTTTCCCTGTTGGCTCCCCGTCCTTCCTTCAAGGTTTCTTTTGGTTTCTTTGGATATCCTTGGTGTTTTCGCGCAAAAAGCACTGGCAACAATGCACCAATCCGTTTGGTCTGGCCCTTGAGCCTTGGTTGTGTTTGCTTTCACTTTTAGCTTGGAAAATGGCGAAGGTGTCCCTAGTAACAGGGAAGTTCCCCACAAAGGGGCAAATGAAACCATAAATGGAGTTCCAGGGGTCACCCCCCTCAAGCAATTCCATTTTAAGGAATAGTGCAATGCACCTTTTTGAGCAGGGGGGTTACTTGGGACCAAAGCAAAGACTGTTTGCAAGGACTTTTCAAATCTGACCCGCAAACAGGAACGGCGAACCACCTCCAAACACAACCAGCCGAACCACTCACGTCCTCGCGATAGGCTTGCGAGCGACTTTTGGTTCAAGCGGAATCTACAACATGGGCCACCATCAGGGGGGGGCTTCAGTTGCCGCCTAAGAGAGGAATCCAGCCCGCACAGGGAAGCCTTCAATACCGCCCTGGGTGTGGTTCAATTTCTCTTCGGCGGTCAGGATAAGTCGAAAAACGCTGGAGGCGCGCCGGGCCGCGTGACTTGAGCGGGAGCCAAACGCGCGCCGCGTTTAAGACATCACCTGGAAGGCACATAACTTGGCGGCTCCCAGCCATCCGGTTCCTTAGCTTTTGGTAGTTGTTTTTTTGTTGGAAAAGTGGGGGTGTCCATTTATCCCGCTAAAAGTTAGACTTTTCGTAGGGGATCTGAGGACAGCCCAGAGAAGCGTCGTTCCCTTCGGTGATTGCCGGACTTCACCCAAGGCCCTCCTGCTCGTTCGGGATCTCTTGGGGTTTTCCCTTGGCTTTTGCGATGTGGCACCCAGTGACCTAGTTCGAAGGTTGGAACTTGGGAGCTCGAACGGTTCGCTTGGAACCCAGCGCAGGCCAGAAAAAGCCAGCCAAGAAGGGGGAGAAGAAGGAGCCAAGCCGCCGGTTTTTGATGCGGACCCACCTTTCGGGACTCGGGAGTCGGGCGCAACATGTTCGGAATGCCCGCAACACCCAGGGGGACATTTGTTTTGGAAGAGAAGGATGGGTGACGAGAAGGGGCAAATGGTCAAGTAGCACCCATGACGATCTTTCCTCCACTAGTGGGCACCAAGGATTAATGATCCATTGACTAGTTTTGATCGGGGGTGCAACCGATTTCGGAGGGAACACACTCGTTAGGGAACTGCTTAAATCCGGGGCCCACTCCTGGCACATATGCTGGAACAGGGTCACAATTGTGGGAAGCCACGGCTTTGGGCAAGATTTTGTGATACCAAGGCAGTCAACTTTATGGTGACGTAGCAATTGCCCAGTTCAGCATTGCAGGGTGATCTTTCACAATGAGCCGGGCTGCGTTTGATAGTGGTACCCTTGTTTCGATGAGTGACACGGACTCGGGCACAGAGGACCCATCTTGTCGGTAGTTCTGAAAGCATTGCGAGGAGAATGCTCCCGCCAACCTGGTGGTCGTAGCGGCTGAGCTGAATGGTTTGGCCGTGGGTGTCTTCGAGCCGAGGTGGGTTGCAAGCTCGCCAAGCTTAAAATGTATGTGCATATGCGAGCGGGGCTGTACTCCCATACCCCACTCTAGGACCCTTCCCCATAGTGCTTCCTCACAGTTGTTCTTCATTGAAATGGGGAAATCATGAGGGCGTAGAGGCCCGCATGATTCCCAATTGGGCTGGGGCTGCATTTGCCCAATGGCCAGGGAGTGGCAAGCCCGGTCATTCAGCGAGCACCATGTTGCCTAGGAATTACAGTCTGAAACTTGGCAATTGCTGTCTGCAAATTAGCATGGAGCCCCAACAGGGACCCCGAAACGACATTCCTCCCCAAAATGACGGGTTTTGGGGGTTCATGTTGATTTGCAGAGAAGTAAGCCATTTAACTTAAACCTACTGCTTGGGGGGATGACTTGCATGGCAAACCGTGGGGTCAGACATGCCGTCTAGATGAGCATCACTTCTCCACCCGTTCAACAAGTTTTGGAACGTCACGGGCGCTTCGGACCTCTTGCGTGTGGTTGAGGGGTGGGGTGGCCACAAGTTTGCATGCACGGTCGGCATTGCCATTTGAGAAGCGCCGGACATGCTTGTTAGTCAGGGGTTCTACTACCTGAAAAAGATTTGTTTGGGATCATTGCAAGGTCTATTCAAACCTTGAGCGGATGTGTCCAACTTCTGGGATACCAGGGTTCCTCGCCCTTCAAATGAGTGATTGGGAAGGGGTACCGCACTGCCAGTTCCGACCTCAGCGCACACATGGATGTGGGTCAACACCAATGGTACCATTTTGGGGTAGGTGCACCACCCATTTTAGTCTATTTTAGTGGGGATTGGGATGTTCACTGCAAATACAGGCTTTTGACCCATGGCCACATCTTTTAGATTGATTGTTGGTAAAGTCAGTGAAGGTCTCGCAAGCTCTCGCCTTTGCGGTGTCCACATCCGTCGCTCGAGCTCATCCGCTGCTCAACAAGTGAGACGGAGCTCTGAGAGAGCTTCGGCGAGCATTTCACGGGAATGAGCAAAAAAACCATCATGGTGTCGCAAAGCGACATGCCATGGATCCCTATTCTTTGCGAGTCAGGCAACGTCGACATGCAACTGGTCGAGGTTGAAGAAGAGGAGTACCTGAAGAAGCAGGCCGAGTGGCGGGAGCAGCAGAGACGTGAAGAGGCATCCACCCAGGCTGCGCTCGAGGCTTCTGGGCTTGACCCCAAGACCGGCGCCCTTTTCTTCAAGACGTTGCAAGGAGATACGCACGTCCTACCGTATGAGGCCTCGATGACCGTCATGGATCTGCGAACACGGTTGAGCGAGCGGCAAGGCGTGCCCGCGGAGGGTCTGCGGCTGATTTTTGGCGGCTTTCAGCTGGAGCCGAGCCGCACTGTGCAGGACTATAATATCCCAAAAAACTGCACCATCCAGGTCGTGCAGCGTGTGAGGGCACCCGAGCCATTGCAATGAACGCCAGTCAATCTGTACAGTGCTACACGGCCTCACCGCAACGAGCAACTGCTTGGTGCAAGCACACGTTCCAACGTCCGGCGTGCCGAAACGCGCCTTCAGGGAGAGGATGCTTGCGGCAGGTCATTCAGACAATGTCTGTTTGTCCTGCCAGGAGAAGGTCTGACATCAGTTTCAGGAATTGAGGGCATTTGAATTTGAATAAACTATATTTCACCAGCTGCACTTTTGACTTGCTCCTTGACCAAGTCCAGGTCCAAATGGATTACTTCTTCTGAAATAGTGTCAGTGAGTCAGCTCCTAGCGCGTTGTTTTCTTCACTGCGCATTCGTTGCCAGAAAGCTGCGCCTCTCACAGCGCGCTGACAGCTTGCGCCGAGAATACACAGGCGAGCACAGGCCGCTCAAGGGCTCCCACGTGCTTCCGCTCGGCAGTCCTGTGTGACAACACTGCGGCAATTCCCACAATATGTATAGTTGGCCATCGTTGTAGAACTAACACAACGGATTTTGGGAGCCCGCTCAATTTAAGGTTGTGCTAGGTGCTGTTCTTTGAACATGCTGTCGCTCCTGTTTTCTTGCTTGATGCATGTTTCGATTCATCCGGCGATGCACAAGGGGCCTGTTGTTTGCCCCAAGCAGCCAATGGCGATTCTGTCTGCACAAATGCACAGGGGAATGATTTACCATAAGCCATAAGCTGATTTGATTTGCTACTTTGGGTTGAACCAGTTGTCTTGCTACCTCGGGTGCGCACTGGGGGGGTTCCCTTCTACGAAATCGCTTGCCTTGGGCGCGTAGACGGCAGGCAACTGTGGTTTGATTGCTATTCTTCCGAAGGCGACCCCTGTCAGTGGGAGAGTAACGAAGTTCATTCATAAGCCCGTGGGTTGATTTTGATCGGTTTCCGGTGGGAAAGTTGCAGAACTACACCCTATGTGTTACTTTGGTGCGTGTTGCTTGGATGTTAGGACTTTAACTTTTTGCCAACTAATGGGTTTTCCATTAAATCACTAAAAGTTAGACTTTTAGCAGGGGAGCAGAAAGCAACCGAGGTTAGGTTGATTCATTCAGTGTCGGCAGTTAAGAGCAGCTGCAATGAGGGGTAAAGGTAGCCTGATTAGGGCAGTTTCAGCTGACACTAGAATCGCGTGTATAGCAATCTCGCTTGATCGATGGAAGTCATTTTCGGTTGGCGGTGTATGGCGGTGTGCTTTGTTTACACAGTCCGGCGTTTTGAATCCGCCCTTGGTTCGTTTGTTTTCGTTCGCTTGAAGGGTTTTCCATGGCGCCTGAAAATCTGGGTTGCTCTGAGTAGTTTGGATGGGGCTTGATGGGGCCGAGGACAACAGGGGCGCCAGGATCCAGGACAGTCGGCTGCCCCGGATGCGCCAGAGCGAGTTCAGTGAATGTTCTGGGAGCATGGGTTCCAACTGACGAAATTCCAACAGGCCAAAGGGCCGCATCGTGTTGCATAGGTCCGGTCGAACCCATGAAGTACCCATCAGCGTGACAGGGCTGCTCGGAGCCGCCCTCTATGAAGAGGGTTTTTCTACCCCGCCAAGGTCTTTGGAGCATTTTGGAGCAACCCTTAGTGACCTGACCAGTACTTTACACTGATTATGTACTGACATGTGAAATATATACGTAGAACATGTTTACATGTCTATGCAATCAAAGTTGGCAACAAGAGGTGTTTTTGGTCATTGAGTGTTGTTTTCGTCAATGAGCCAGTAAGTCCAGCGAAAGATGGTTCCCTACTGAAAATGGCACAGAAGCCTGGTTGTACAGCGATGGTTGCAAATATTTCTGTAGGCCGTACGATACGCCCTATGAAACCGGGTAGTGGAGCCGCCTACTAAAATTGCCAAACATGTTTTCCTTTTGGCCAGCGGTTACACCTTTGCCCAAGTCGTCATGCAGCAAGCCATCACCCGCAAGTGAGGGAAATCTGCACGGAGCTTGGGGCTGTTTTTCTTTTTCAAAGAATGGCACCGATTTGTGTTTGCACCTGCGATATTTTAGTAGTGCTGGGGAAGGGACCTTGAGTCCCGCTTTGGGGTGATTTCCCGCAAAACATGTAGGTTATGACGTGGACAAGAAGAAGATTGGCGAAGGCTCCTACGGCACCGTGTCCATTTGCACCAACAAAGCCGGCGCCTAAGAAGCGAACGCTGCTGCGTGCTGCCTGACAATAGGCGTGAAAGCACCTTCACGCGGCAACATGTCAGTGCCCCGACTCTGACTCATGTTTGTTGTTTTGTTAAACAAGCAGTGTTTCTTTTTTTTGTGGACCCTTTTGTTCCAAACTGTTTCGTTTCCAAACGATGCATGTGCGCAGCGTTTTGCAATCATTGGGCCATTGGGCAAAGTGTTTGTACGAGCTCAGCTGGAAAAGCACGTGTTAGTGGTATTTGTGTCACCCTTACCCTGGCACAGTGCTAACCCTGGCAGGTGGTTGGTTGGTTGGTTGGTTGGTTGGTTGGTTGGTTGGTTGGTTGGTTGGTTGGTTGGTTGTGAAACCCGCCCTCTACCTCAAGCGCAGCCACCCTCAAATTTGCTCTCAATAGGCCTGGAACCCACCCGGAGCCAACCCTGAGCCAACCTGGAACCCACCCTAAACCAGCCTAAACCAAAGCCTGGTGATGCTGAGGATGTTGAACGCGATGCTGAGGATGTTAAAACGAAGCCGGGCCTGAATCTATCCTAAACGGACTACCCCGAACCTACACCTAAATCTACCCTGAATCCATCCCAAACCTTTGTCCCACCGAGCCGCCAACCAACTAACCAACCAACCAACCAACCAGCCAGCCAGCCAGCCAGCCAGCCAGCCAGCCAGCCAGCCAGCCAGCCAACCAACCAACCACCTGCCTGCCAGGGTTGGCACTGTGCCAGGGCTAGACAAGAAAAAGCATCCTTTCCGCACTGCACGCCAGGCTGTGCAAGGGTTGGGCTAATGCCAGCGCTGTGCAAAAAAACACCTCAGCCTACGAAGGGATATTTCTGATAGGCAAGGTGAATCGACACGTTTAGCTCAAGCATATCGTCTACCTCCTCCTCAAGTTCATAGACTGGCAAAGTATGCCTCCAATGGCAATATGGCAGATTCCGAGCTGCTTGCCTGGGTTTGCCCAGAAGCATGCTGCAACAGCTTGAACTTTCTAGTGGCACTGAAAACACTGTAAAGCGAGAGACGAGTAACGTTTTACAAATGATTGCCCGAAGCCGGCAATGCCACCATGCGGATTGTTTTTTTTGGCCGCCTTGTGTCTTCTGCCGTTTTTCCCACTCAGCTCACCCTTCATGGTTTGGATTGGCTGCTCCGGACATTGAGCCCCTGGCTCTTGAGAGCAACTGGGGTTTAAACCCCACCCCGGTTGCGCCTCTCCAAGCTTTGCAAAGAGAATGGCGGATTCGCCCATGGCACTTTCTCTTGGAATCAGAGGCCTTCTGCTCTTTGGTGCTCCTTGATTCTTAGTGCCAGCTCGTGGCGGCAAACAGTCCAAAGTTCGCTGGCTGGTGTGGGGGAGCCCTCGGCCGAAATCGGCTCACGGTCGGCCGAGGCAACCAAGCACAAGAGGCCGGGAGCAAATCTCGTGGGATTGCAGTCCAGGCTTTGCCGGGGTTGCTGAGAAAATTCGGATGCGGTCGACGCGAAAGTTAAGCAGAATTTGGCCTTCAGGTGTTCCTTCACTTTTAAGATCATAAAATCTAAGGGGGGATCATGTGCAAGTCAGTGCGCTGTGCGCGTGTGCGTGTGATTTTGTTCAGGGTCTGCTTTTCAGGTTCCTTCAAGGGGGAATCAAGGAAACCTTTTGTTGACGGGTCCAATTTTGAAGGCTTGGCCCCAACTCTCCTAGTGTGTTTGTCTACTTCTCGAGTACAACCGTCATTCTTGAGGAATCCCCAAAACCCCTCTTTGGCTTTCAGGTAAATCTGAAGGGGAGTGCGGCCAGATGTGGTTGACCTTCAGGGGCGTTTCATTCTTTGAGTACCCCGAGGCAGACTCAGGGGATTGTTGATGTGTTGAGGCCAAGTGCATAGCTCGCCAGGGCTGTCAAAGCTCTCAGCAAGACACAGATGAAGAACGTTGAGCTCGGCACCGAGTCGGTTCTCGAATCGCCATTCCAAAAAGCAGTTGTTTGGACGCAGGGTTCCCTATGTTGTTTGATTTCTTTTGGCGGTGGCAGTTGAAAGGGAGCTTACGTTTGGTGAGGTGATGTTCAGAGACAAATGTTCTCTCTGAACATCACACTACGAAGACGAAAGGGATGTCAAAATGAAGGACTTTCCAACTGGTTCTGGTCAGGGGGTCCTCTTGAAACTATCTAAAAAGGGATGCCGACAAATGGACACATTCAAACCCTTGAAGATGGTTGGTTCAGTGATACTTGGAATATAACTGCCACTGAACAACAATTGTGTTGGTATGTTTGTGACATAGATATTATTGGTTCTGATTGTTTGGCACTGCGTGTGTGAAAGTTGTCAATATGAGTATGCAAGTGTGTGCGTGCGGCATTTGTGAAGAGAACCTGCCAGGCAAAGACGACTGTCAACAAGGTCACAATAAGCAAAGCCCATAGCAATGATGAAGTGACTAAGGCTAGGAAGATGATTGAACCGCGCGTAGTTCTCAACCCCTTCAAAAGCGAGCCAAGCCCAATGGCACAGCCGAGTGTCCCTTTGTGGCCCCTAGGTGCTTGGGTCACTGAGGCCAGAAGCATATCACTGGTCGTCCAGTCTGCCACCCAAAAGAACACAGGAAGTGAAGTGATGAATTATTGTGGTAAGCTGAAAGTGCCGGCCTTGAGGGACCCATTGTTGTTGAACTGGATGGGATCTTGGCATCTACCGTGGTCGCAGCTAAGCGTGCCAAGGAAGTTCAAGGAAGAGATCAGGATCATGACGGCTATGGACCGGGTTGAAGTCGCGGCAGTTTTTGAACCTGGCCTTCTTCTTTGTTTGGGGTGGTCACGGGCCAAGATGTTTCGGGTCCACAAATATTTCATACTTTGGGGAGAGGACAAGTTTGTTTTGCTTTTTCAGGATTTTCATCATAAGGATCCAGTTGCTCAATGGGTGGGGCGTTGTCTTCTTTGCTGTCGAAGCAAGAGCACAAATCATGGAGGTTCAACTCCTCCCTGGATCGTTTTTGTTGATGCTCTCTCGCGGTTTTCGGTTCAGTCAGTTTTGTCAAGCTGCTTCTGTTTCTGTTTTGGCTGGCAAAATCCCACGTGTCTTCGAGAGGACCATCCCAACATCATCAAGATGTACGAAGCCTTCGAGGCGCGGGGAGTTATTGTCCGACAGAAACGAGGTGGGAAAATGAAAACCCGAGATGCAAGCGTGCCTGGAAA